GATCTGGTACAGGCCCCGATCCTCCCAAGCACCTTTCAGTATAGAAATGGTATGTTGCTTGTCCCGTTTCATCGTCCACTCGACATGGCTGTTTGCGAGGACACCTGAGTGAGGCACTGCATGTATTACATACGGATATTCGCTTGCAGGACGCGCACTGGTTGTCATAAAGGCGACAGAGAGTCGTCTGGCAGACACTCGAAAGCCATAAGTCAACGGACCGGTGAGCACATCCAAATCGCGGCGTCATATGCTCCTCTTTGCCGAGCTGGCCGGAACCCGTGCGCAAGCGGTATTCTGTCTTGATCTTCAATTGGTCTTCGTCGTCCAGCTCAGGGTAGATTTCAATATCTAGCTGCGTCGATCCGTAGTCCTCAGTGCAACTATGCCAGCAGAAACGCTGCTGCTTCATCCCGGAACCAAACTGGATCGCCAAATCCGTGATCGTTTTTCGCCGTACCCTCAAGAGTTCGACAAGCTCCACCTTATCCTGGAAGGTCAACTTCTTGCAAGGACACAGGTCTACTATGCCTGCCGAACTTCCTAGGTTGCATGATCTATCCTCGGACTTTCGTTTCAGCTCTCGCGCGGGAAAGAAGCTCCGCGGGTGGAGTTTCAAGCATCGAGAACATGCCCGCCACCTATTATCTTCTAGCAAGTTTATAAATTGCCAACGTGGTGTGACGAAATTGTGTCCATTTCGGTAGTGGTGGAAAAGCGGTGCAAAGTCTCGACTGAAATGGAGGGGTTTGGCGCCTAGGGTAGCACCGCATATCGAGTAGAGGCGTTTACAGGTCAGCGCCAGACATGCCTCGGGCAGCACAGACAGGTGAGAAATGATTTCCAGGAGCAGCTCTGTCGGTAGCGCAAGGAGATAGCAGTTGGTAATGGTGTCGTTATCGCCGGCTTTTCCTTCAAACTGGGTTTTCGCCCAGCGATTCATCTTTGCGATGGACCTTAATCGTTCCCCAGCACGGCGGAAACTAGATCCCATATCAACCGGCAGATCGGACCTCATTTCGTCGGTCGTGGCAGACTGTATCGTCTGTGTGTAAGTAACAAGAAATTAAGGTATATGTGCTGTGATCTATAGTCAAGAATTCAACAAGGACTCAGAAGATGAGAGAATACCAGCCCGTTTTCTGCTGGGTTTGGGGCATCATGGTGTCCTAGAACATATAAAGGACAGCGAGCCACATGACAAAATAAGTTGTCAAGAGAAAGACGGGAGAGAGGGCCTTTTGACCTTCAAGAAGTAACCTTCGCAAAGGTTGTAGATTCGCACGCAAACGGAGCACGCGCCGGGGTCACAGCGTAGTAGAGGCCGTCAGGATTACATACAACAAAATGGGCCTTTCCGTTGGACCAAAGAGCAAAAGGCCGATTGTTTGATCAAGCTTCTTATTGGCGACTGTATCCAAACAGTCTACGGATCTAGACTGTTATCGTATCAGTCCGTAGGAAGGGTTTCGCCCGACTGGGGAACGGCTAAGGAAGTCTATGATGCTATCGGATCAAGGCCTACACTGAGCTTCCGCATCCGGGCCTGTGTTTACCGCATCGATCTTGCAGCGACCCGCAAAACCACCCTTGAAGAATGTTCATGCTTCTAAAAATTCAGCAGTCTGTTGCGACACCGTTTTCCGGGACAGCACGACCAGATGGGGGATGAAAGATGCAACATCAAGTGACGTCGAGATCTGGGAGGGTGTTCATCGTGTGGAGGGTGCCTCATGATCCTCCCCGCTGAGTCATTCAGTACTGCTGACTGATCGGCGCGATAACGATAAGGTCCTGTCCCGATAAGCACATCAGATGAGCCTTACTGGATGAGGCAATCAAGCCGAGGCATTAATCAAGATCGATGGGTCTTTTTCCATCCCATCTTTCACTGTTCGGTGTCGCCTGTGGTTCCCGTTTCCCCTTTTTAGACCTGCAGGTGATTATAGCGTGCTATCTAGTGCATGTTCTTTAGAATCTTCTTTTTTGGCGTTGCACTTCATCCAGATCCGGTTCTCCATGTCATTCGTTGACACCCCCCTCAGCCTACTAAGCACATTCTCCATACCGCTTCTTGTGGCGGGCCTGCTGGGAATGGGCCTGCTCTCATGGATCCGCCCTAATGGCCGGATCACATACTATCATGCGAAAGATAATAATCTCCTACTGGCCACAAAGGCGGGAAAGTCTAGATCCCAGGCGCAAGTGACTCTGGCAGACCTCTGTCGCACTGCCACTCCGAAGACGTGCCAGCTGAACCCCTTCCTTTTCAATGGTCATCTTCAGACTGCCTGGACGACCGCGAAGTTTGATAATGTTCCGGTGCACTACAAGCGCTGGATGTTCGAGGCTGAGAGCCCGATGTTGTCTGGGCACTTTGCGATAGACTTCGTGGTAGATCCGTATGAGCCGCCCAGCGACGCTCATGCGACTGATAGCGAGAGAAAATATACTCAGCCGTCAGGGCTACCCGAACGGACGTCATTCTTCTCGGAGAATGAATTCGCTGCGCTTCCCTCGGACGACACCAAGCCTATGCTCGTGGTTCTCCATGGCCTAAGCGGCGGATCACATGAACTTTATCTGCGCCATGTGATTGCACCTCTTATCAAGGATCAGACCTGGGAAGCTTGTGTCGTCAACTCCAGAGGCTGCTCGCAAACCAAGATTACGACTGGTGTGCTTTACAATGCTCGTGCTACCTGGGACATTCGTCAGGCTGTCAAATGGCTACGGAAGACTTTTCCGAATCGCCCCTTGTTTGGAATTGGTTTCTCGCTCGGCGCGAACATTCTTGCTAATGTAAGTCTATGTCAGGCACAAGTAACTAGGATTGACTGACGTGATCGCAGTACTTGGGCGAGGAGGGCGATGCCTGCGAGTTGAAGGCCGCGGTACTCTGTGCTAGCCCTTGGAACCTCGAAATTGGCTCCCTAAACCTGCAAAGCACCTTGATTGGTCGCGAGGTCTATAGTAAGATAATGGGTACGAGCATGAAGGATCTGTTCGAACGGTAGGTGAAATTTACCTAATCATTGGTCTTTCTGCATCTGACTCGAGACCATCAGGCACGTGGAGCAGGTCTCCAAGAACCCGCGAATTGACGTTGACGAGGTGAGGAATATTACCTATTTGCATGAGTTCGACCGGTAAGTATCACTACAAGCATATTTGCGTCTGCATGGTTTTAACGTTAGACACGAATAGGGCTTTGCAATGTGCGTCGTGGGGCTACCCTACTGAAGGAGCATACTATCGCGATGCTTCTTCTACCGATGCTATGCTCGGTATTCGTATTCCATTCTTTGTTATACAAGCCGAAGACGACCCGGTGAGTCCAGGTTCTCGGACGTGAACATCCGTATACTAACCGATAGCAGATTGCCTGTGCTGCCGCACTGCCATTCCAGGAGATGACGCAAACCCCGTACGGTGTGATGATGACTACCTCTTGGGGTGGACATCTTGGCTGGTTTGAGCTTGGAGGAGGGAGGTGGTTTGTGAAGCCGGTATGTGAAAGCTACCTGCCAGTTGTCTATTTACATCTAACTGTTCCAGGTGGCGAATTTCCTTAACCTCATGGCGAAGGAGGTCGACCTTACCGTGCCGTTCAAGGTTGAGGATCCCGAGAAGATTCCCGGTCATCTTGCCCACCATACGGGTCCCGAAAAGGACGCAGATACGGCACCAAAGCCGAAATTCATTCCTGCGCAACGCAAGCTCGACCTGCAAATCAGGCCCTAGTCAACAAATATTGCATAACCGAACTGCTCCCATTGATAGGATCAGTGCTTCAATTGGAGAGATGCTCATCATGTGTCATGCACGCCATGGTTTCGGAAGACATAGACCAGTATAACGCCAGAGACCCATCTAACTACATAGACCCGGTATAGACAGAATTACTTTTGTACATAGAATTTCAAGCAAACGCAACACTCTTCTTTTTTCCTTTTGACTTTGAAGACGACTCCTTGCTGGGCGCTTCATCCTTCGTTTCGCTGGAGCCACCCTTGTGCTTGCGTTTTTGACGGATGGACTGCTTTGCTTCCTCCTGTTCGGATCAAACCAATTAGCAACCCTCAAATCATTGCAGTCCTTCAACAGGACAACTGGGAAATGAAAAGCATGTATACGCACCAGCTTAGACTTCTTCTGCGCCTGTCTAGCCTCTGCCTCCTTTCTCTTAGCCTCACGGATCTCCTCCAACTGACGAGCCTTCATCATCTTGGATTCGATCTGTCCTTCCTTCTCGGCGTTGACCATGGCGAGGATGGTCATCATTCCCTCCTATTGCAACATTGTTAGTCGATGCGACAGTCATACAACGGCCTAGAAATGGACGATATACGTACCGCATCGTCAACGAAAGTCTTGCCCTTCTTCTTACCCTTGGGCTTCACCACACCAACAGGGGTGATCGCATTCAGCTTGGGCAGTCCCAGTTCCTCCTCGGTATATTCTCTCTTCTTCGTCTTCTTCAACAAACTAGACTCCGTGCGCGCCTTCGCCTTGACTTCCTTGGGCGGCGGGCGCTTGGCGCCTTTCTTGTTCACTTTCGATGCGGACGAGAGGGGCTTGCTCTTCTTTCCGTCACTCTTGTTCGAGGCCTTGCCAGCGGCGGGGCCCTTAGTCGGCGCCATTGCTTCGATTTAAGTCTGCGTGTCGGGATTGATGATATGGAGGGTATCGAAAGAGGGAGACGAGAAAATCTGGATTGTCGCCTGCGATGGTGGGGGAGCGGGAGAACCAGCCAAAAAAATCCAGTCGCCTAAATAGCACAAATATCACGGACCTCAGATATACCCAAAATCAAGTAAATAAACCGAATCCAAGTCGAAGAAAAGAATTGGAACGAATGAAGCCCCGGACCCTCCAAGATCACGCCTCCGAAAGAGAAATTTTTTGAAACAGGCAGGCGGTGAGCCGCAACCCGGGAAGTGCAGGACCTCCACCACTTCGATCTCCTCGCATCGTCACCTTAAGGTTGGTCCGTCGAACTTCCCTTCCTTTTCCCCATTCGCTCTCCCTCCCCCCACCGTCGTCTTTCTCTCCCCTCTCATCCCAGGTGTGCCATTGTCGAGCCTCACCACCAGGCCGCTGTTCAAGATGACCATCAACCCGACCTTCCTTGCTCAGCGCACGCGCTCCTGTACGTTTTCCCCTACCTCCCAGGACTCGGTTGTCCCGACCAAGTCCGACCCTTTAGAAATTGCCGCGACGTCAATGGCCGGAATCCCGAGCTGACCTTTTCTCGCCTTGTGTAGCTGCCAACTGGGGTGATGCGAAGCACCGTGTCCTCAAGTCTTACAGAGAATGGCTTAGAGCGGTCAGTGATCCTTATACTCGATAATACCTATGCTCCATCACCTATTCCCGTTCATCAATGGCCTGGCGTTCCCGGTGTGGTCGTCCGTCGACCCTCCGCGTCTACCAGACAGACCCTGCGACGGACCATAACCTCAACCTCGATGACTACTATTCTACGAGAAACATCCAGACTAACATGACTTCATTCAATTGCGATAATATAGTCCCCCGAGATTCAGACTATGTACTCTCTGAACCTCCCCGTCTCCGCTATCCGTACGAAGATCCGCCAGGAATTCGAGAAGCACCGCTACGTCAACCAGCTGAACGTTGTTGATGTGCTGTTGTACCAGAGCCACGCTGAGTTCCAGGTGAGTTATGAGGATTGGGCAGCCTAGCGATGCTCAATTGCTGCCATTGATACAATCTACATCAATTAATTGAGTTTCACATATTATGGTATGGATAATGTGTACTGACCAATATCAATAGGAAACCCTCAACTACTGGAAGCAGCTGTCGCATGTCATGAAGTACTTCCGCCCAGAGGAGGACCCCGGTGCTCGGCTACCTCCCAACTTCATCTCGGGCTTCTTGGAAGGCCGCAATTGAAATTGTGAAATTATTATCACCCACCATCATCTCTTTTTATCTCCTTTATACTCCTGGTATCCCTTAGCATTGAAAGTTCTCTGACGGCTGCGAACGCTGATAGAGAGTGTGTGAGTGTTATGTAAATATTGTCTGACTACATGATGTTTTTTGAATCATTCGAGGTTGCTTGTGTAGTAAGCGTGTAGACTGTATTTGAATGCCTTGCGGTCCGTATGAGAAAGATCTACTGTAGGCTTTTGGACTGTTTGATACGAACAGCCGACGAATACATTCATACAGGGTTAACACCAGCAAGTGTCAACAGAGCCCAGACCACATAATCAACCCACATATCTATGAGCATATAGTAGTACTGTAGTAGATGCTATGGTATCCCTCACTCCATCCACCCCCCGAAACCACAGCACCTTACCCACCCACCCAATAAATACATCCCATCTAACCACCCCCAAAGAATAAAGAAAAGTAAAGTAAAGTAAAAAAAAAGAAGGAAAAGGTATAACTTTTCTACACACACAACGCCATCAATCCCATCAAATAGCAAATCATAACACACACACAGAGAGAGCATCAAAGCCGATAACCACCCAAAAGTCTATAATATGTATAAGAAAAAGTATATGCTTAAGCCTCCATGCGATCCGCCTGCGCAGCATTAAAGTCATCCCGAGCAGTGGTGAACTTATCCGTAACGACATCACAGAGGTCCATTAGAGTGTCGAGACCTTTTTCGAGGGCTTCGACGGCGGTGGTTGTTTCTGTCAATCACAGTCAATATCAATTATCTTCAATCTATCTCAACCCTATGGGAGGTAGGGAGGGGGTTTACTAACCATAAGTCTGAATCCGAAGGTTCATCTTCGTCTCGGAAGGATGGGGGATAGTGTAACCGCAGAATTCGACTTCGGGGCTATAACCCAAAAAAACCGCTCCGTTAGCACATGATCCAACATAGCAGTGTTATTGAAAGGGGGGTTGTGTACGCACTTCTTCATAATCGCATATCGCAGCGCATTGCCCAGAGTGTGACCCTCTCCCTCGAATTGGAATGAAGCTGCGGTGTCGGATGAGCCGGGCAACTATTATCCCATTCATCAGATGTTAGCATGCGGTCGGGAGTTATTCATAATATCAGTGTATGAAGTGTGTACGTACGACAACAATGCGCTTCTCGTCCAGCTCGAGGACGTCGGTCTGCTCTTCCTGGGGCGCGGAGGCGTCCAGCATGGACTGGTCTTGTTCTTCGGAGTGGACGGAGGCGGGCATTTTGAATGCAATTATAGAGAGGTTTGAGGTACTGGTCCTGCGGATCTGGTTAGCGCATTGTCTGGTATGTTGTCGTTCGTTCGAGGTGTATACTGAGGGGGTGGTTGTGATTCTCGAGGGGAGAGCGGAGGAGAGAAGTACTTAGTGGCGGGACACACGAGTCACGAATGCGGGATATCTTAGAGTAACAGAGTCCAGAGGATAGTATATTCCCGGCTAAAAGTGAATAGGAAATCAAATGAGTCGTATGCGTCAAGTTTCGCAAATCACCAGACGCTTAATTGCTCATGAGGAGAAAAATGCGAAAAACGGTTTATCGATATCTCACCGCCTTCGGAGGAGGAGGGCATATCCTTACCGCCTGCCTTATTTATTTGATGTATGCTGCTGCTGCGATGTATGTTTGCCTTTGATTGGATCTATTGAAATCTACATCTTCACGAGTGCTACTAACTATCTCTACTCATAAATGACCTGTCTTTTGTAGGAGTTGCAAGCTGACTAGTCTGTAGCAGAAGCTAACGCACAGCATATCCTATTCAAGCACTCTGCATGACTTATATCCAACGGCAGGATACGTACATACACGCCGTACACTGCGTGAACGAACGCTCTTCTCGGCCGTGTGCGACACTGGGTACGAAATAGTATCTAGTAGTTAGCTTCTATTCATCGTCAGGTTACTTCAAATCATCTGCATAAATATAGCAATCCGGATTGTGTCAAACATCGGGCACACGGTATGATCTACCACTATGCATACCCTTGTGCTACTGTGGCTTGATGTTATTCCCCCCTTCTTCTCTCCGTAGCTTGTCTTTTTTTCTTTGCAGAATTGAGCTTTGCTTGCATAGCAGCTACAGAGTAGTGCCGGTGCGGTGCTACTGTGGTTTTTTTCCGGATGGATGGATGGATGATGGATGGATGGATACTGCAAGTAACCGACCAAGTAGGCGACTATTTGACTAATCCTTACTGGAGATGAGTCTTATGTCGCTGGACATACAGTAGTAGTGTTATTAGATCGGTCTTATTTTATGAATGACTTGGTTTGTGTTGGTACGGAGGAGATAGAATGCTCCGGAGAGCTGGGTTCAACTGATTATCGTTAAATTCCATAAATATGTATGCCATGGGGCAGTTGAGTGCAATTAATGTCCGCACCAGGGAATATTTTAGTGCAACGCTGTCACCTACATAAACCCAACTACTAAAGTGGTAGTAGTAATACGGTGTAATTATTCTTAATCTTCCCCAATCAATAGTTCAGTTCGTTAGTACATAGGAGTAATACGTTAATCCTCCGTAGTAGCCAAGTAAGTACGCGACCGGGACCAGGCGACATACATACATGCTAAACAGTAAACACAAACTGATAACCACGTACTAATTTAATTACTACTATTATTGACAATGGCTTATTACGATCGACCAGATGCTATATCGCTTCCCTTTGGGGAGCACGCCCCCTCTTTTCCATTTCTTCCCACATGGAAGAACCAATATTAGCAACAGGGGGGGGGGCCGTGCAGAGGCAACGCCGTTGAGACTAGACTCGGGCTTGAGGAAGGCTTAACACGGGGTGCTAATAAAATTAATAACATTATTAACTATTGCCATCTGGCAATTTAAATCAATCAATCAATCTGTCAATCAGTCAACACCGACCGTGTTTATGACACACAGTTTTGATAACGTGAGGATGCAACCGTTCAAGATTTCGGGGAGTAATCATACTTGGATATTAAACTATTGCCTTGGCAGTGTAGATAGCTGGGTTCGCTACTGCAGGTATGGAGCTTCGGTTGTTAGGTAGTACGTAGATAGATTGTTGTGTTGATAGTAAGTAGTATAGTACTATGCTCGGATTCGGACTCGGAGTCGGTTGTTACTTGGTTGTTGTGGATGATGTCGTGATAGATGAGTGACGAAATGGATGGCGCGTACGGGAAGTTCTTTGATTTGGTGTTGATTAGGAGGTCGGATACTTCTGTTTGCCGAATGTCCATTTGCTCCATCGCTAATAGTAGGAGTGTCTACTCCGTACTAAGTACTCCATAGTTGGAGACATCTATCGGCGGGATGTTGTACTGTGTATATTGAAGATGGAGTATACTATTTACCTACCGGGTCGGTTAATCCTCGAACAATCCCCTTCCTTGCACATGGAAGTAGTGTTCAATAATAAACGCTCATTTCGCATATGTAGGGTAGGGCAGGGTACATAGAGGAACTCCCGTGTGTAGTACTACTACGGAAAGATAAATGGGTGGTCCTCGTTTCGAGTGACCACACGCGATAATCTATCTCGTACTCTTCCGGTGGGAGAGAAACAATATACATACAGAGTAGTAGTATCCACACCGTGTCCATGTTTGATACATAAATAGTATCCACGAAATCGGGATCTCAGCTTGCCGAGCAAGCCACAACGATCAAATACACCGACCCTCCTGGAAATAATAAAATCTTTCAACAGGTTGACCATGAACATGTTAAGTTGGTAGACCCTTTGTGATATGACAATCCATGGTACCACTTCAGCAGGTCAATAATTTCTGGAGACGGCAAGGCCGGACCCATAAACTAGTGGTTCATCAAGACTGGATGGCAAGGCCGTTCCTTAATCTTATTTGCAAGGAGCACACGTGGGCCCGCCAGGCCGAGGTTGGAACTTGGGAACTTATACTGAAGTAGACTAACGAGTTAAAGTAAAAATAGGAGAGGAGGAGGAGGAGGAGGTTATGCGAGGGTGCGGACTTGTATTGTTTTTTAACACATTGCACAATGAAGATTTACTGTACTTTCATCTGGATAGTCGTATGCATTGCTTGCCAGCTAGGTATTTCAACTACTCACTTTTTCCCGGTGATTTAGTTAGTAGATACTACTAAGTATCTAGTAGTAAGCCGGATCTCACTAGTCGTGATCCCCGGGTTAATGAGGCGGTCCCGTTTAATATTAAAAATGACTTTACCTCGTGGAGTGGGAAATGAGGGGAGAAGAGATCGGCCCTAATGATTGGCTCTCGCAAACGGGCTTATCCGCAGATGATTTCGGGCCTTAATTAGGAAGGTCTGTAAATATTCAGTTCATGGAAGTAATCCATTATGTCAACTCCCATCATCGGTACCTTGGAACGAGTTGTTGAGGATAGATAGATACATACTATCTACTAAGCCATCAGCGAGTACTGCTGCAAATAAAATTGTCAGATCCACATCCCACCCAGCCGTGTAAGCAGGCCACGCATTGGATCGGAGTACTACTGTGTAGTGTGTAGTAGTAGTACATGCAAAGTATCAGCACTGCAACTGTAGCAGGGATTGAAATGCTAATATCCCAGGAAGTCGATACAAGATGGAGCCCTCTGCATGCTTTGACTTTTTTTACTAAACCTTCATGAGGAGTGACCGAACTCTTTTTTTCCTACCCACCAGGCTGTCGGGAAGTGGTTCCGCGCGTTAGTTTTGACTCTTTTGAATGTATTGGGAATCGATATTGAGAAGGACGGTGTATACGCATTGGGCTAGATCGCTACCTAGAAGAATGGATGTGGCTTGCTTCTGCTACTGGTGATTGATTGATCGATTGATTGATTGGCCTGATTAGTAGGTCTGTTTTGAAGACAGCAAGTTAATTAAGTTTGACTCAGCAGAAAAAAAGTTTGACAGGTCCCATGTTTTGCATTGAGGCCTTGTTTGAGTCAAGCTGCCGTTCTGACTCGAGCAGAAAAAGGGCCGGAGGCTTGGGTTTTGGTTGCACGAGGGCTGGGATTCAAAACCATCCCCAACAGTTGCTACTGCTGCTGCTGCTGCTACTGTTACACCGGTCCGGCATCTCGGCTATCAAGGTAAGGTTAACTAGCTAATTCACTAATTATCTAACTGTTCAGAATTACTCCGCGGGCCCTGTCTGCCCGTCTCATCCTGCACTGCAAATCTGATTGAGACAATAGTGTTGTCGCAGGAAGCGAGCTAATCGTCTGAAAGAGAGAGATTCTCATTTCCGCCCCAGTCCGTGATCGAAGGGGCGCGGGCTAGGTTGGGAAAGAAGTCGATCTTCATTGTTCCCAATAGTTCGCTCGCAGGTTCATGTGCTGTGCTTGAAATGGGCCTGCGGAATTGACCACGAAAAGTCGAATGGAAGGCATGGGAAAAATTCTGCCTTACAGTAGTTCGGTGGCTCGGGCCCCTGGGATGTCGCAAGGTAAGCAGTGCCGGGCGATCATGTCTAGAATTTTACCTTTCGAGGCGGATGTGTGCGGGTGAGCAAGGTAGGAGTAGTAGGTAGGTGTTTTTCTATCCACTTCTCTCTCTATACCCTACATACATACAGTATCTACATACCTTATTACGCTTCTTAGTATATATCTACAGTTGGAGCGTTGTTACTCCTACTTATCTGGGAGTAGCGACCGAGCAAGGTCAACTGATTTCCGGTGGATTGCTCCGGCTGGGCGCGGAAATCCCGGCCCTGATGGAAGAAGAGGCTGCGATAATAGTAGAAAGAAGCCCGTGTCGGATCATTTTAGTCTTACTCATATTGTAGAAAGTTACTTTTTGTTGGGGGCAGAAATGTGTGAGTGCAGTTCACAATGTAGTCAGACATGACGATCTGATTATCATGTAATGTGTTATGTGTTATTGTTATTGTTGCTGCTGCTGCTGCTGCTGTTGTTGTGAGAGTAAGATGATAATAATTATCAATATTATTATCCCTTTTTTGTATGTCTCCTACCCCAACAGTTGGTCTTCCCGGTCTGGAGCATTTGACGAAATTATTCATCCATTCATGCGACTGTTGGCTCGTCTCGGGCATGTCACAACGCGACACTCTCAACGAGAACGAGGGCCGATCGTCATCCTCGTCGTCGTCGGACTGTGCCGCGGGATGATCGATCGAGGCATCTGTAAAAGACCTGGTTGCCTACCTTGTTTCTTCTTTTTGCTTATCATATCATTAGTTACCAAGGTTAGCAAAGGAAGCCTTACCAAGGATTTATCTACTTCTTTCCACACTAGCGAGCAGAGACTGAGACTGAGAGAGAGAGAGAGAGAGAGAGAGGAACGTGGGGAAATGTGAGATGTCAACTTTTCGGATTAATTTGTCAAGCCCCCAATAGAGAGAGAGGCTGTTGCTGACTGCAGACTAGTCTAAGAAGAGGAGAGGAGGGGGGGGAGAAAGTGGGCAAGTCGGAGGGGTGGAAACGAGAAGCGAAACTGTGGTTAGTGAGTTAACAGGTTTACTAGTATTATGTCTGACAGAAGA